GACATTTGAAATTTATTGGGCCATTCCCGGAAGAACTGCAATACCGGGCCGACCCGTGGCGAGAGCGGAGCAAGCCCCGGGCATCTCGCCTAGTTCCAAAAATCAGTTTAATATCGTAGTGACTCAATGAGCCACGTATCAGATATTAAGCTGATAAGAACAGATACTACACTTTGATCTTAGCCAAAAGGCCGAGAAGCGATAACATTTAAGCAGAGTTCTGAGACCCCACTTTAGCAACAAGTGAAATAATCTCAATGTTTTACATTTCTTACACGTAACATTAAGAAATAGTTAAATTTTAAAGTATTTTAATTCATTTAAACAAATTAAAGTAGTTATAAGAATATCAATTGCCAAGATTAAAAATTGTATCCATTAAAAAAATAAATAATGAAACCTGTTTCGAAATCATTGTTTATTTCTTAATTTAATTAATTATAAAGATTTAACTCCCTTGACGTGCTTTTAAGCTATTTGTAAGTTCCCTTTATATTTAATTTAACGAGAAATAACAGTTAGTGTTCCTTTGGACTTACGTGTGAATATTATTTATTATCTCCCTTAGTCTTAAAATAAAAACCGTCTGCCGGTACTGGTTCAATTTTTTTACTGCCCTCTGTCAATGCTTGCATCTCTTACAATAAAAATGAACGCATGTTTCTAATGATACTCACATGCTATACATAAAATAAATTTTGTTGGTACACTATACTAGCTGTCGCAAGGGGAAACTCCTCAAAATGTATATTTAAACCTAGACCTAGGAATAATTGGGAATAAAGGGAAGTCCTTTTTCACAATTTAAAAAAAAAAAATGAAAAAAATAATGAAATAAGCCAGTAGTATAGCACTCATATCTATCCTCGATGTCGCCCGCCAGCTCCACCTCCAAAAAACTTTTATAAGTTGCCATAAATTATTTAGACATTGTCAACCTTCACTTATTCTTAATTTTATAAGTAACTAAAAAATATACCCGCATTACAAGGATTGCATTAGGACCCCAATCCTGGTGGGACCCAGATCCCAATGGGACCCAATCCTATTCTGACCCCGATCCCGGCGCAATCCCATTTCCTGATAGAATGATGATCCCGGTGGGATCCCGTTTTCTTGTGGCTTCTGATCAAGGGGGAATCCAGATTCCGATGGGATCCTGATTTCAGTGGATCCAGATAGGCTACGGATCCCATTAGGGTAACATTCTCTGTTTGATCCAGTTCCACCTAGGGACCTTCTTTTCCGATGTTATCCCATTTCCCAATAGGATCCTGATTTGATCCCATTACCTGATGGGATCGCATTACAAATGGGTTCCAGATTATTGCTGGATCTCGTTCCCCATTTGGATCTTATTCCTCTTTGGGATCATGCTCAGTGCGATTTTGCTCGAATAAGTTTTTAGATCCCTTTATATATCCTAATAGAACAATATAAAACCTACTGGAGCATTTAATATCCTCCATGAAACCTGTAAAAATTACTTTTCTACGTAATTATTTTTCAAATACGAAATATTATACATCTAAATTGCACTACTATTACTATAGTATATTTAAATTGAAATAGGGCCCTGGTGGGGGCCCATTTAATAAAGCACCATTTTAGTTATGTCTGAGATAGGGGGCCCTATAAAAATCATTCAGATAAAATAGGGAGTTAAAATTTGTCTTATTAAAATCGGTTTTAAAATGCCATAGATATAGTCTTTTTAAATTACCCAACTTTTAAAGAATTTTAGATCGGCCCTGAATGCATTGGAGATTTTTTTTTTTAAGGCCACCGATATTTCAATACGGGATACGAAGGGTATTTCTACAAAACTAGGCCTAATCCATCAATTCACATAGAACCTATAACCTAGTGATATTTATATAGCTTATATAAGGAAAAATGAAATGGGGCCCCTGGCCCTCAAGGAATGAATATTAACAGTTCAGTAACCATCGGTATTTGAATATGGGTAATCAAGTGTAAAAGCCTTTGTGAAACAAACAGACAAATTTTCACTCATAATTATATATATAATATATTATATATATTATATATAAATATAATTTATCATTTTGAATGAATTTTCTTTAAGAGCATCTAAAACAAATTTTTGTAAATGTTGTTAAATTATTATTTTCAAGAGAAAAGAATTCAAAGATTATAAAAACCCTAACCCTAACCCTAACCGCGGCGGTGTACCAAGCAAAACCATCGACTTTGGCCTGGGTAAACCGCGGCGGTGTACCTAGCGAAATCGTGGGCTTTGGCCTGGGTACACCGCGGCAACAATTTACCATTGGCCTGGTTTTAAGAAAAACCTGTAAGATAAGATCTTGTGTGGTCAAGTGGTAGAGTGGACGCTTGGCGATAGTATATTGTGAGCTCAATTCCCAGTAGGAGATCGAGGTTTTTTTCTTCCCATTTTAATTAAAAAATATTTTATATTTAAATTATCATGTTCATTTGTAACAGTAGTTTCCTGAGAAGTTTTTAAATATTTTATAGCAATTAAAACAATTTAAATTAAATATATTATGTTATATTCAGATTATTAACTGATTATTAAGTGTTTCAACAAGTTGTGCCGGCCTTTGACTTTAAAAAAAATACTGGTAATATTAGTAATATGAGTATGACATTAGAAAACAAACTGAAAGTTTCTGAAAGCGCATGTATAGTGTATGTAACATGTATACACTTTATCAATGATATCATATGAATATTAATGTGCATGGTCGTGTTTCAAGAATGGCATGCGATGTGCTATTCTCAGGTAAAACACGACGTTTTCTCACATAAACCATTGCACAATGCGCTTGGGACAGGATTTGCGCTATTTCAAAGTTTTTTTATTTGTTGTTTTTTGCTAAGAAATTGATCCTTACCGGGGGGTGGGGGTGATTTATGGGCAGAGGTTCAAGGAAAATGGGGGGCCTACACAAATCATGGCTCTGGATAGGGGTTGTCCACAAAGGACATCCGCACAAAAAACGTATCTTTTGCATCCCCCCCAACCCGGAGAGGGGGGGCTGACGGCATTTTTTACTTAAGTGTAATGCCAATGTAAAAATAATTTAATGATATTTAATTATTGTTAAAAGACTTTTAACAATCACTGCAGTGTTTCGTATTGATCATCATACTGTTGTTTTGTGTTGACAATCGCTTGATATCACAATGAAAATGCCTGGGACAACTTTAACTTCACAACTTCATGATCAATGTATGTGATTCTGTTCCCGTAATGTATTTGTGGCGTAATTAGTAATTATATCTTGGTGCTAACAAAATGGACACACTGGCTTCCCATTCATTTTTACACCATGCCCCGAGGGATCACATACAATGTTATTATTATCATGCCTCCCACCACCCCTTCCCCAAAAAAAAAACAATTGGTGGGTGAGGGGTGGGGAGAATAATTTCAAATTAGCTACCCTTTTTATGCCTATTAAGATTCACAATGATAGGATAAAACTTTTTAATAATAAATAAATATAATTGTATTTCAATATATGGGGGGAAATAAAGTGTATAACTTTAAAAATAAATCATGGTTTAACATTACACCCCCAGCCCCCTCCCTTCCAATAAGTAAGAAATGCTCTACAAGTTCTTTGCCACATAAGTTATAAGTGTGGAACTTACTCAAAAGCTTCCTCCCAAGGTACTCAACGATTTTAAATAAATAGTTTCCAGTTTTAACAAAAGTATAACATTAAATCTACAAGTACCAGTTAGGCCAAAAAGTTTAAGACTCGCAAAGACCATGGTTTTGCTACTTTAAATCGCTGCGGTGTACGCAGGCCACAGACAATGATTTAGCTAGGTACACCGCCGCGGTGTACGCAGGCCAAAGTCAATAGTTTCGCTAGGTACACCGCCGCGGTGTACGTAGTGCCGGCCTATAAAAATAGGACAACTTCAATTGAACTCACCTTTCTGTAACTTGCCACTTGCCTTTTTAACTGACTTTTTTACGTTTTAAGTGTTTAAGTGTAAGTTTTGTTACTGTTACTGTTACACTCTTAGTCTTAGTCAGCTGGTCTACTCTTAATCTTACTCTCTTACTCTTACACTTACATGTCACATAAATATCTACAAATTTTTAACAGTAAGTTGGCTTTTGTTAACCAGGTGCCTTAAAAATACTTGCTAACAACCCTAAAACATGACAAATAAGTTCTGACTGTCTCGTTTGTTTTTAAACAATTATCTAATACTGCAGTTATTAAAAATCTCCACAGAAACGATAGAAGAATATAAAGATATCACTAGCTATACTTAGATTTAGATGAAACAAACCATAGCGCTCACAACAGCTCATGAGCACGTTAGGTGGAAAAGTTGGCGCTATACTGTGGCTTATGGTAGTTAACCAGGTAATTACTAAGCTAAGACTAATTTTATGTCCTAATTTAATTAGTCTATAAATTATAGGGATCCCTGTCCCTATGCCTAACCCGAACCCTAAATTGATCCCTAAAATGACTAACCCGAACCCTAAATATATCCCTATGCCGTATGAGCCGTATGAGTATGCCTAACCCGAACCCTAAAACTAAATCTATCCCTATGCCTAACCCGAACCCTAAATCTATCCCTATGCCTAACCCGAACCTTAAATATATCCCAAAGCCTAACCCGATTCCTAATAAATCGATCCCTATGCCTAACCTTAACAAAGTCGACGTAAATCTGAAAAGTATGTGGCTGACGCAAATTCAGCAAAGGTTTGTTTTACAAAAACATCACAAGGCTAACAACTTTTTTATCGCTTAATAATTTAAAAATGCGCTATCTTTTCTACGCCTACGCGATTGAAAATATATACTACAAATTAAAAATAATATTTTAAAATTATTAAAATAGATTTTCCTTTCTTAAAATGAACATAACATTGACTAATTGTATTATTTTTTACAATAATCAATCAAAAAGCATGTAATATTTTTAAATGTTTTAACATTTAACCGTTTCTTAAGCTCTTTTGCAGGGTCCTCATTTTTTACTTCATAGTGACTTGCATTGAAAAATGGCGACGTCAGGTATGTTTGGAAATGGAAATCCTGGTGCTCTTTGGACTGGTGGTCCGGTACCGGGACAACTACATAATTTTCCAGGTGTACAAAATGGTGCTACGAAGGGATCTTCACAACGGACCTTGTAAGTTATAGTCCAGTTTCTTGTTATAACAATACTAATCATAGTTCTTATTGTGTTGATTTATTATTTTGTTACCTATTATCGATACGGAATTAATCACATTATAACAGCTTATAAAAAATTAATCCAATATTAAATATTGATGGAAACAGGAGACAAATTCTTGAATTAGCATTTGCTACCTACCTTGCTATGTCATCATTGGTGAGAGAATGTTTCTTTCTAGTAATTATTTGTAATTTTAAGACACGAGTGACAAGAGTAAGTGTAAGAGCACTCCATTATTAATAAATGCACCCTGGTTAAGCTGAAATACCCTTATTTTTTTTCTACATTCAACTATTTAAATCAGAAACCCAGTGGTGATGGGATCCTCTGTTCTGGGGATCCAATTCAATGGAGGTGTTGTCATTGCTGCTGATATGCTCGGCTCATATGGCTCTCTTTCAAAGTACCGTGACTGTCCCAGACTTCTCAAGGTTAATGATTCAACAGTCATTGGAGCATCTGGAGATTATGCAGACTTCCAGTATCTATCTAATGTCATACAACAACAAGTGTAAGCATTCTAATTTGTTTCTTTTAGTTAAGTTTTGTTGCTTTTCAAGTAATAAGTAGTATTAGCAAGACTTCATAATAATACTTCAAATTACATTATCTATAGACCTAAATAATATAGCAGAGTGAAATAGATCTTCCAAAAATATGTCAGATATCACAAATATTTTAATATTATTTCACTCAAAAGTTTGAGTCATACAATTTTGTATAGTATTTATACTGGGTAGTGTATAAGTGTGGAACCTAAAATAATATTTCTGTTAATGTAGGATTCATGCATCTGTATCCTGCAACATGTGTTGATTTAATCCCTTGCTCTTATGTTGGAAATAAGACTGTTCTTCCAAAAACATTTGTCCTCTTGGCTATAAAAATAGAGAAGCGTTTATGCGCAGTCGGCTGCGCATAACCCTGAGAGTTATTCCCAGCTGAGGATTTGGGGAGGGGGGGGGCAACTCACATGAGGATATAAATGTAAAATAAAAATAAACATTCAATAAAGTTAAACTTCGATGAATTCAATTTATTGATATACAAAAAAACAAAATCATTCAAAATCAATAAAAAAATTTAAAACATTATGAAATAAATTATAAATATACACAGAGATGGCTAAATTATCATTGCTGAGAGATAGATAGTATAAATTATTTAATATAATTCAACATAATCGTTTGCATAGTTTTTTGCAGAGAATTTTTTTATTATTGGTTTAAAGTCAATGTTATTTTCCATGCACATAAGGGAAATCCAGTTCAAACGTTTTTGTCCCATTGTACTGCGAAGCTGATTCTTACCTTATTCTATCGATTCATATCTGTGGAAAATTAAAATTTGTTGACGAGAGTTATTCCCCTTTAAAAGATTTTAAATTGTCCAACTTTGATTCACATTTATGATATTAATTTTGGAATGTGCTGATATAATCGTGGTTAAATTGGGAATTTAAATCCAATTAAATTGACAAAATCTTTCGATATATTAAAAATTTGTAACGTGTGATACCTCAATAAGAGTGAGTCTCCGAGAAACTGGGGGCCCCCAATAAGCTCTGGGCCCATGCCTTAAGAAGGCACTGGCTACCAGTACACTATAGTTATTTTAAAAATAAAAACTATCAAGTTCTTTAGCGGGTAATCTGAATAAAATGCTTTCTGGTGATTTGATTGTTGTGGCACATTATTTGAAATATCTGTAGAGACATTTTCTACTCATACTTCATTGTGATTATTGGTTTATTCCAATTTGCATTATTCCCGTTCATTACCTTAAAATTGAATACAAATTTTGTTGAGTTGTATATATATGGGACCAGTTAATTCATACTATTACTATTAACGTATACAAGTGTCAAATTTTGTATTGATTTTTATCCATTTATTAAATTAATATACTTTGATTTTGTTAAATTATCCCAAGAAAGTTTTAAACTGGAATATGTTTTATTGTTATAGCACCACTTTATTTATTTTCTAGCATTGATGAAGAATGTCTGAATGATGGATTTGGTTACACACCAAAGAGCTTGCATTGTTGGCTTACAAGGGTCCTTTACAATCGAAGAAGCCAATTTAATCCACTGTGGAACACCTACATAGTAGCAGGATTAGATGAAGACAAACCGTAAGTGGACCAAAGATTTACTGATTATTATTGCGTAAAAAGATATTTAATTCTAAATAATATACTCATTAATCTTGTTTGCGTTATAATGGATCCTTACCAGTTTCTTTTCTTCTTTGATTTCCCTTCAGATATCTGGGATATGTTGACAAGATTGGCATGGCTTATGAAGCTCCTTCACTGGCTAGTGGCTTTGGTGCATATCTAGCGTTGGTAAGTCTATTTCCTCCCATAAAATGTATGCTATGTTTTAAAGGAAACTTAATTGTATGACATACAACCTTGATTGTCTCACAGTTTTCGTTCTTTATTCATATTTATGGGGTTCTAGATGATTCGATTTCTTTCTTTCCCCAGCCAATCATTAGAGATGCCTTGGAGAAAAAACCTGATATGGCATTGGAGGATGCATTGAGACTGATTGACAGGTGTATGAAACTCTTGTTTTACAGAGATGCAAGGGCCCTCAACAAGGTGAGTGATCAAATCTAGGTATAAGTGGTAACAACATGCTCATTCCTCAATATTATAAACTCTCTAGTTAGGTTAATGTTAATGCTACAGCTGTTCGGATAAGGGATAGGGTACTTTATTAGCTGGAATAAGGGTATGCGTCTCCTTCATTAGCTGGGATACGGGTTAGAGTCTACTTCATTATCTGCAGTGTGTGTTAATGTTTAAATAATATAAAGTGTCATTAAATTTGAATAACTGTGGCATGATTTCAGACCTGTTTACTCTTACGATTTTGACGTACAATGTATGATTTTGAGGTGTATACATTATATATATTGTATGTTTATTTTTTTACTATTAGGATAAGGTATTGAACGATTTTGTGATGATATTGTAAGATTTTAATAGTTTGGGAGTAAACAAGTCTGTGGCATATTCACTTATTTTATCAAGTTACTGTACTCTTCCTGTTGTAGTAAGACAACCATGAAGACTTATAACTGATATTGGCTTGACTAAGTACAAATTTTTTTAAAACAGAACGAATAAATTGCTTTGTGTTTCTGATATGGTGCTGATCTCTTTTGATCTCCTCTAGTACCAAGTAGCAGTCATCACAAAAGCTGGTGTAGATCTCAGGGGACCAATTGTGTCAGATACTAACTGGGAAGTAGCACACATGATCAAGTGAGTTATTTTAAGAATCGTTTTCACATAATTTTTACAGAATTGCCGCGAAATGTGTTGTTTTTTTAATAAACTTATTCTCTACTGTTGCGACTAATAAATGCATCATTCAAGGGAAGGGTAATGATGGTTGTATCCTGACACCACATCGTTATTTTAAAAGAGAATCAAAACCAAAAATCTCCCCAAAATTATGCAGAGGTGTGAAAATAAAGAAAATCTTAAATTTTTATCTTGTTTAGTATTTAATGTATATGCGTTTTAGTATGGTCCTTCTTATATCTACCACATGTTGTGCCAAAAATTGATTTTGTTTGGTCAATGCATGTCATGTTATTTTTTGGTCATTAATGTTATATGTTTTTTAAACTTAATCCATTTCTGGATTCATTTGTATTTAGTTTGTTTAAAATTAATATTTAGCAGCTTAAATTTTTTTAACAAGTAGATCAATTGAAAGCCTATTTAAAAAAAGCAAAGGTAATAAATAATTGAAAAATCAGAGTTTCTTCCCTTGTGTTCCGGCTTAAGGATTAAGTATGGAAATGGAGAGAATTATGTTACAAAACCAAACACTTTTTTTTTTCAAAGATATTTATCTGCCCAGTCAATATATTTCATCCTAATTATGATTGTCATCATTAAATAATTGCTACTCTCACTATTTTAGTCTCTTGCTCTTATATAATGGAAATACTTGCAAATCATAGTAGTCTATTCTTACATTAATCTTAGAATTACATACTGGGTTAGTGATATTCTTAATTATATGTTGAGATTAAATATTGGCTTTTTTGATACAGTAATGTCAAACCAACCATACACAATTTTATTGTACTTGCATTTGCATTCATATGTACCATTTTTTTTTACTATCTATTAATCTGTGATCACTCACTGTACAGTCGGGGGTATGTTTTGTACTTTTCCTGGTAGTTGTTTCTATGTTGTTGGTGAGGGTTTTAAGATTTAATATAACATGAGTATAACATATATTTATTGTGACCTTTTACTTTCAACTGTAAAATGTAGTTTACTCATTTCATTAATTTTAAACATATGTCTTTCATTTTTATCTTAAAATAAACCAAGGAATGAATCAGTTTATTTTTTCAGTAGTGCATCTCATATTTTCCAATCAATATATTATATTGGTGCAAACAACAGCTAAAATTCCTGGCCATTACCCTGTCTAATAACTGCACTATTCTAATGTAGCATCCTTTTAATTTATCAATCATAAATCATACCAAATCAGTATTTCCATTTATTTTTAATGCCCATTATTTTATTTATTTTTCACATAATTTTTTTTTTTTTTTTCTTTGCATTTAAAGCTTTTGAGGCCTTTTTTTCTTATTTGTCTGGGCCATAATGGCAGTTGGCTTAAGTGTTAAATATTATATATTTTCCACTTTAGTTCTTATTAACGCAAATAGCACACGGGAACACCAATTTTGAAAGGAGTTACCTTAGAATGAAAAGTCAGTTGTTTTAATCATTAAATATGTTATTTTAAAGTTGTAACATAATGTAATATGAAAATATTGCATATTGAATTTAAAAAAAAAAAGACTTTTTCATTCATCACCTCAATTATCTTGTAGAGCTTTCATTATTTTCCTATCAGTGGCATTTTCCTCACAGGTGGGCAATTTGAAGGTTATGGAGGTACATTTAGTATTAGTAGGAAATATATTTACATGACAAAATGGTGGTAGGGGGGGGGGAGTCAGACAAGACAGAAGGACATTAAACCTTTTAGGTGCTCTTATTAAGTGTGTGTGCAAAAAAAATGTTGGAAAACACTGATGCAGAACTATTTTGATACCAATAATTATTTATACATCCATCTGCCCGAATTGAAGTTCTCATACTTACATTCTTGCTTGCATACATCATCTGTACTTTAGTCAAGATTCTAAATACCTGCTCTAGTAAATGTTTACTTGACAATGTGTTCCCCCAATGATAGATTTGTTGTTTTATTTTGCAGGGGTTATGAATAAACAAGAAGTCATCTATCAGGGGAGTTATCAGAGTGTGCTAGCTGGAAAATTTGTGTTTACAGGGAATTTTTTTCTTTTCTCAATTGCTTATTTTGTTTAATAAAATTTCATCATTTAATTTCATCAATTTGAGATTTAAACATATTTTTGTTGTTATTTTTCCCCGATGTATTTTTGTTTGTAAATTTAATCATATTCATATACAGAAATGGCATTGTGACGAAATAGATCTGCCACATCACTAACTCTGTTTCGGTCCCAAATAAAGTACTGGGAAAGTCAGTTTTCTGCCCCATATAAATTAGTATGTTTTGATATCTGTTTATATGAAAAAGAACTCTACAAAACAAAAGGTAGTATTTGTAGAGCTATCAAATTAAACTTCGCGTTTTTTTAAATTAGATTTCAAATTGTGATCAGGACTTCTAAAAGAATTGTTAACATTGCATGGTTCTGATCATGAAGACAGCATTTAACTGTTTAAGAATTGCAACCAAATTATTTTACCTTCAATTTAAACTTTACACAGTAAGGTGTACCAGATAATTACTTATTATAAAATGTGTTCTATTTTCAATATTTTATTCAATTTTTAAAATATTTGTTTTTTACCTAAATATCGGTATGGGTAATAATTTTTTGAAACATGGGAACTTATTTTATTTTATTGTCTTTTTGACCTATCACAAATAGGTGGCAATGAATTATTTCAATCTCATATAAATATTTGTTTTAAAAAAGTATCACACAGAACAAAAAAAAAATATTTTTTTTTTTTAAATTGACTTAACAAACTTGTCCTATCCTGTTCTCAGTACTGAAAAAATTAGGCCAAGCTCCTTGTAAAATATAAAATTTAGTTTATTTAGAGTCAATTGAAATAAAAACTAATGATTTTCTATTATGTTATTAAATAAATTTTAATTATCATCTCCATCATTGAATAAAGTAAAAGATCAGTAATTTAATTTCTTATCTTAAATTTGTTGGAACTAAGAATGTGTCAATACTCTTTACATTCCTCTTATCAAGCAGTTTTAACTAGTTAAAGTTAAACTTAAAAAATCCATACAAGACATTTTTCGCCACAGTTAGGTATCAGAACACGTCAGAGGTCAAATAGGCATTCTATTTTTTTTAAACATATTAAGGATAAAAAAAAATTCCAGTTTTAATTATAAACCTTCCAAATCCCATTATAACCAGGGATAAGAATGTCATAATGAGACTAGACAAAGTCTTCCATCGAAGACAAGTTTAAAAAGTATACAAATAATTTAAAATCTCTTAAAACGTTTTACGCAAAGAAATCTATTATTAATTGGTCCATCTTATTAATTTTATTCATTGTCTTCAAAAACTTTCAACATTGTTATTTGGAGCAAATGATAATAAAAGTTTTCAGATTAGATGAGAATTGAGAATTTGAATAGAGAGTTCATTCTTTTCTCTGGATAAATGTGCACAAATTATATTGACAATGGCGGTAAACATTCACATAGTTTTTTCTTTACCCTATATGACATATTGTCTCTGCCTGCTCTTGCCCTACGGAAAAAATCTCAGAATTTCTCGATGGCATCTTCCAGTCTTTATTAACTACTTTACCCAGATATATTAAGGACACCAACCGCACTTTAAAAACCTTTAACTCCTTAAACATGTCCCCCTAATGCAAAACATCTGGGTTTTTTTACTTGATAGATACTCCTCGTACACTTCAATTTCTCATGCTGGCTGTCTTAAGACTTTGAGAGTTTTCCTCGAAAACAAACCACATCCGTCAATTCATACTGACACCCTTATCCGACCAGCTGAACTAGTACTTTGTAGTACCCTTCCTCAATTCTTTGGGATTTAATAGTCATTTCTTTGTCCAGATGAGTGGTGTGGCCATTGGTACCAAAATGTCTTTTTTTGGGGTCACGTTGATTAATGGTAGAGAATGCATATACAGTTATACAGCTCATATCCCAGAAATTTACAAAAGATACATTGATGATGCTGTTGCCATCACTACCATGGAAACAAGTAAACTCCAACAATCTTATTGATTTTCTAAACTCATTCCACCCATCTCTTAAATTTGCTTCATAAATCTCTAAGAATTCTGTAATTTTTTTACATGGTCTTTACCCCAGAGCTGACCTATAGGATGTGCGATCTGTGCCCTCGCACAGGGCGCTGTGGCCAAAGGGGTGCCTAGGGTGACCATTAAATATTTAAATAAGCTTAGTTTATTGTAATGAAGTGCGAACCTCGGGTCCGGGGTCAAGAAATGGTATTCTAACTTTATGCACAATCGCTTTTCATACAATGAAAATAGCATTCTTAATTTGGATACTAGCACTGGGGTTGGTATTTCCTTGTCCCTCTTACAATTATTTCAGCAGAAAGAATATGGGGAATAAAAAGCTTTCCGGGGCGCAAAAGCACAAAGCAGAAAAAATATGTCGTAATCAGAGAAAGAGCGGAGCCGTACAGGGACAGGGTAGGGGGCGCCGAACAGCTGCTTCGCACAGGGCGAAAGTTTACCTATGTTGTTGGGTTTTTTTTATTAAAGAAACAATGAACAGTGCATTGTTTGTTTTTTTTTAAAAAAACGCTAATAAACTCATTACTGAATAACTAGTTTTTTCCCTTAATGATTATACTTATGAGGGGCGCCAAAGTTAAGCTTGCACATGGCGCCAGCAACCGTTGGGCTGGCCCATAAAAGAAAACGGTTTATTCACCACTGCCTATTACAAACCAACTGACAACCTATTGTATTACTCTTCCCACCCCAAGTCATGAAAATGAAAGGACTTCACACACTTTTCCCAACTTTTTAGACTACGTTGCCTCTGACACTGACAGTCAGGTGAAGACTACTTAGATAGGGCAAATGACATAATGGACTTCTTCTGCTCCAAATCTTTTTCTGAGACTGCCCTTGTTTCTGCACTCAATCCTATCACTATCACCGCAATCACATGTAATGCGGCGTTCAAATCTCGTTGAAACAAAAATGAGGGTTTAACTTAACTTATCATTACCTACCACCAGTGGCGTAAGCTAAGGGGTGCGGACCGCACCGGGTGACAGCACTTCAGGAGGTGACACCAAATAGGAACAATTGCATATTTACAGAGCACACACTGCTCGGTCCCACCACATTTCCTACTAGGATAACCAATCACACGCACATTTTCCACACATGTAACCAATCCAAATGCGTGCTTAATTAAACGTTCAAGGTTAACGCATCAGAAATGAGGTGGCCCGATAATTAAGACAAAAAACACCGTTTTGACCATGATTCAAGGCTGATTGCTCGGCAACTTTCATTAAGGGACAGGAAGCTATGATATACCAAAAAATGATGTCAGACCTGTTTACCCCTGGGTTAGTGTCAGGGTAGTTTTCAGCTCTCAAAAACGTATTTTCAAGCTACAAAGAGCAGTTTGGTCAATTAGGGTGGGGGGTGCTTAGGTGGTTACAATCAAAATACAAGTTGTGTCAGGAAATCCATTTAGCTGCTTATAAAGTTAACACAAAGAAATCTACAAGTTATCGTTCTCCAATTTCGTGAAGTTTGAAGGGTTTCGTTCGTATTCGATTACTTACGGTGGCAACACACACACACACACAAATGCGAAGATTTTCGTGGGAAAAAAAAACGTTTTTATTTTTATCTTTAATTTAAAGTATTGACTGTTTCTTGTTTTTTGTATCGTATGCTGGAGAACGCGTTTGGTACATAACCACAGAGAAATCCACCCTCCTCAGACCCCACCCTCCGCTTGATTTCTGCTACAATACTTATCATCCTCTGATCAAATTGACGGTCTAAGTCTTTAAAAAAACAACAACAAAAAAAAAAAACTCTTAAAGCAAAATAATGCACTTTATAAGAACCCAAAATAGTGCAAGTGCAAGACAATTGGTATTAATTATTTTTTTTAAAAATAATATTGTGTGTGGAGTTGTGTACGTATTGAACACAGCGTTACACCATACATTCTCTCATTCATACCTAGAGAACGATTATTTGTGAACAGTTTTATAGAACTTGTATAACGCTCGTATGTCCTCTCGCCCAGTGGTTTTCTGTAAATATTATGTCTAATGAGAAAGTAGCTTGTATTAAAAAAAACACACACTTTTACACTAGTTTATATAGGCCTATTTACATAGGCTGTATGATACTTGAAGATTTTGCGCCCCCCCCCTCCCACGAGGCTGGCGCCTATGGCTGCCCCCACCCAACCGCACTTTAATTTGCATGGCCTTGGTTATCAGTATATGTGTTTAGATCCAGGGCCGGATTTAAGCAGGCTTAAGCCTAGAGGACGGGGACCATTTTTCTGCCAAGGACTATTAGGATATTTATAGCGTCATTCGCGGGCCATAAGAAATCAGGACAGGTGCCCCAGGCACAAAAACGTTTACCCCCCCCCCCGCTATATATTATCCACTCATTATATATAGAACATGAAAAGAAAAAAAAATAAAAAAAAATTTAATATCCCCCGGCAAAAAAACGTTTTCCCCCCCCCCCCCGCTATATATTATACACTCATTATATATAGAACATGAAAAGAAAAAAAAATACAATAAAATTTAATATAATTAAATTTTACTTCAACTTCGCAATCAATTGTCAATTATTTTAAGATTTACATATATTAATATTATATATATTAAAAAATATAAAGTAATTGGTTCTGTCAGCTGTAAATTGCCAATGGATTCATATAAATTGGCAGCGCAACTTAAAGTTTTCCAGTATCATACTTAATGAATTGTTTAATATAATTTACTTAACACATGAAATCCATTTATGTTATTATTGTGATTCTATTAATAAAAATTAGGTTGGTATGAAAAAAAACAAACCCTGCTATATTTATTGGATTTTAAATTCCGCTAGCGGGCCAGACCAGATGATCTCGCGGGCCGTATATGGCCCTCGGGTCGGACGTTCCCCACCCCCGCTAAAGGGCCTCCAAAATCGAAGGGGCCTCAAAATTTGAGAGGCCCTATTTTATAAACTCACACGGTTAAAAAAATCTAAGATAATTTTAAAAAATATATTTTAAAAAAGCAAAATAAAAATTAATTCCTGGTTATAGCCACACACGAGGTTGAGGCATTACAAGACACCTGAACAGGATAAGTAACCTTACGGGGGAAAATATATACTTCTTTTTCATAAGGCTGAGACCTATTAGGCGTTAACGAGATAGGTCTTGGACTTCAAAGCTTTAAAATAATGGATACTGTCTCATAATCAATTTCTCTAATTCTTCCTGTTTAATTTCATTAAAGTGGAGAATCCTTCGCAAATTTGGGCTGTTTGACTGGTTCAGAGTCTTCTCGTTAGCAATTTGGAAGTTCAAACTTTCAACGAAAGTCTTTTGCAGTTCATATTTCTTAAACATTTTCTCAAGCTATCAAGCCAACACTAAACATAACTAGTTGCGTGTGTTTCTCTGTTACACTGGCCAGACGACGTGTTGTCGAGGAAGAAACAACAACAATATATTCGTAACAAGGAGCGCACTTTTATATAATCTTATGTATTTCATTTCTAATGAGTCCTCATTAAGTGTTGTTTTGTCAAGAAATTCACGGATGATGATGTCGTATGGAACAGCGTTTCCCAAACTTTTAAGTTTCACGGACCGGTGGACAAGTTTCGAAAATGCATCAGGGACCGTTGCCAGATTTATTCATTACATTTTCTTTCTATTTAAACATCAATATTCATGCTCTCTGGACCGGTAACGTAAGGCTTGCGGACCGGTGCCGGTCCACGGACCACCGTTTGGGGAACGCTGGTATAGAACATTTTCCACGGACAGCGCTATTTCAATGTTCGTTATCCACACAGTTTTCACTGTACTACAAACTCAACATTTGCCACGGACAGCGCTATTTCAATGTTCGTTATCCACACAGTTTTCACTGTACTACAAACTCTAAATTACCGGTATCATCGAATCCGCATTTAAACACACGTATTTTTAATATATATGCATAGATCAGGGGTCAGCGAACCGGGGTAAACCACCCCAAAAGGGGTAACTTAGAAAATCGTGGCGTTAAAATAGCGCCCAAGTCCTGTCAAACGCCAATTGCGCCAGAGATTCTTGGAACTAAACCGTGTTTTCCGCTGCGAATGCCATGCAGCGCTGGGCCCGGATTGTGTGATGTCATGAACAAGGTGTGAGTCGGACCTTTTGCCCCACTTACAACTCTGCTAGCGCGCTGCTTTGTTTCTGAAACCATGATGAAACAGCAATCTCGTATTTTTAGAGGATTTTCTAATTTCTTCGTGACTGAGGTTTGTGAATGAATCGTGGCCCACGGCGTGGGCATCGTCGGTAGATTTCGCCAACGCGGTGAAAAGGATCGAAATGGTGACATACGCATATGCTCATAATATTTTGTTTGGATTTTCATAACACTGAAAGGCTATAACTATATGTATGACTACATCATAACTACATGTTGGTGAACCGGTAACCGAACTACGTAAACAAAGCTTAGCACTATAAAATCTTGCTTAGTTTCATAACGTTTGGGTATTTATTTTATATGATAAGTTAAATGGCATACAGTTACAGCCTTCGAAGAATTGATTTGCTTTTGGTTTGGTCACCCCTTGATTTAAGTCAGCTGTTCTCAGCCTGTGGGTCGCGGCGCCTTTGGGGGTCGCACGACCCTTTCCCAGGGGTCGCCTAAGACCATCTGAAAACACGTATGCTCTACAGTTTTAAAGTAGCAACAAAAATAATTTTGTGGCTGGGGTCACCACAACGTGAAGAACTGTATTTAAGGGTCGCATCATTGGCAAGGTTGAGAACCACTGATTTAAGTGGTGTTTAAAGAAATATTGACATTGTGATGTATAAGGAAAAGGAGATGATAGGCTCCATGCTAAGGATCATTAGCAAAAAAGTGAACAATTCGCATTTGTGTTTATACTACATTTTTGGTACAGTGTGCTACGTTATTATTATTTTATAAGACTAAATAATTTATTATAAAATCAAAACTATTATTGACTTCTTGAGCAACTTTGTACAGGTCATTTGAGGATGAAGTTTAACAATAAACAAAATTCACCTTGCCCATTTAGACCTTCATTTTCATGTTGAACAAAGCCATAAGCACACAGAGGAGCTAATTCTACCTCATGTAACATGTAGATCTCTGCAAATTATAAAAAAAGGAAAAAATCCAGATGCCCTTACTCAAGTGAAAGCGAGTTTTTGGTACTATTTCGTAGGTTGAGGTTCACTAATTGCTCAGGAAAGAGACCACATGTTATTTTTTTATTCAAATATATACCTTACCTCAGTCCCAAAATTAAGTTTAATAATTTTCTACCCTTTCTGTGCAATTTGAAAGAAAAAAAATTGCTGGTGCTAATAGCTATAGAAATTTTCCAATTTTTATCTGAATTTGCATTACAGCGGGGTCGGGGTTCCTTGTCACAGGAATCCACTTAAATTTGTGTTATTTTTGTTTCTTTATTGTAGACATATATTGTCTAATCATTATTAAAGCTTAACATATAATATTTTATTTACAGTAATTGTGTGTGTCTCGTTAATCTACTCAAAAGCTTTATTCCAGTCAAACCCTCTTATAATTATTTCTTTATTAAAATATATTCTGAAAGAGACTGTTTAACAAAATTTATAAACAGTACTGCACTGTCAGGGAGATATAACCATCTTTCTTAAGAAAAATGTCCATGTTACACTTATAGCCTACAATTCACATTCTCTAGAATATAAATTATAGTTAAAATATAATTATAACAAATGGTATAGTTAAAATGTACAATTATTGTACAAGTGCTAACGAAAAAGTGTTAACTAAGAAGTATACAAATTTTTTAATATCTTAGTTATTATTATTATTTTTTTTTAAATTTTGAAAATAAACGATGATGGGGGAATGGGGGTTGTTGCAAGAGGCCTAAAAATTATAATATTATTATTAATATCTAGGTCTCTCTCTAGGTCCAGTACTTCATTTTACTTATATCTGTAATTCGATTATCCAACATAGACTTTTCTTCTTAGGTTTGTCTAGTCTGAAAAAATAAATCACAGTATACACAGTCATTCACACAGCTTAATAGTTTTGAGTTATTATTACTCTATTTTAAGATAAAGTTATTGCGACATCTCTCTGCAATATGAATGTTTCAAGTAATTTCCAAAGAATGCGAAACTTACTTTAGGCCTTCAAATTTGAGGCACATCTTTGAAGAAAGAGTTAAAATATATTTATATCAGTGTTGATTAGAACTTCGATTACCAAACACTTCTGATTTCCAAGATTATCAGGTCTACGAATCATCATAAAATAAAAATATATATAGAATTATCTAAAGTATTAGATATTTTGTAAACTTTTTCTTTATTTCTTTAATTATTTGATCTAGCTAATTAAACAAGCTGGATCAAGTTATATATAGTTGGAAATCGATTATTTTGAAACTGTTTATTGTAATCGACTACTCATTCATTAATGGCTTGTTATGAACCAAGAGATGCACGTGTGATTTCAAGAGTAAATACTTTAAATACATAAAATTAGCCTAAATACAAAATATGATGAGTTTAACAATAGACTCGACCATAGTTAATAAAAAATAGTCAAACATTACTAATGATTCGTTATGTGTCACAACAATGAAAATATTTTTTGAATTGTGTAACTGTTTAATATCTGAAAAAAAAAATGAAATGAATAATGCCACGCCTACAAAAAGACATAACTTAACATTATTAACAGTTAAAAGTGACTTAACAAATTTACATATTGATTGAAATATTGAATAGTATTAAAATTCAATAGGCCTAAATTTTGGTTTAATAAAATTTTTTAACTATAATTTATACTATAGGCTAGTATCAGTAATAGTAACATTAGAATTAGAATTTAGTCAGGTGCTTTAATCATGACATGATTTTTATTTACAAAATTTGGCAATTCTCCAAAGTCCAGTCTAAATGAAAAAAAAATTGCAATGCACAGTGAGTATTGTTAGAAAACAGCAGAAATGTCAGTCATAGCTTTTGCAAATAACTGTCACTTTACAAGCCAGTCAGTAAATACTAAATGCTGTAACTGTAATTGGCACATAGCATTTGCAAATAGCAGCATAAAACATTCTCCTTGTGACTGTTAAGCCACTGAAAGGCTCCCAAGTAACTGGCATACAGACCGCGACTAGTACCACTCTGATAGCGGAGTTTATGTTTCGCTTGCATCCAAAGTCCTTCAGTAGTTTCTGTGTGAATGTCCTGGTCTACTGAATTAACAAATTCACCGGCATGCACAATGGCAGCCTGAGCATCAATCTTGTTTTTGAGCTGGTCGACATTTTGAGATCCTCGCCAAGCGTCCATGACGATAGTTGTCCGTTGTAACACTTGATTAGTGATAATGAACTAGAATGTTTGCATCTATACGGCCAACAACCTCCATCCAACATCATCCACTACCACGCTCATCCAAGCTGACAACCCACTTACCAAAGCGTTGCTGTCATGGTGATATTTTCTATGGAAAAAGTAACTCATCCATCTCAACGAAAACAGACTTGCCGTTGGCACAGAAGCCTGCCAGCAGTTGATTGGTTGTCAGCATCCATTGACAGCATTCTCGAGTAAGATAGTTGTTATAGTTGATGACAGTATCCCGGCTAACCAGACTCTTGAACAACATAACATGCTTACACTTGAATTCATAAACCAAATAATACATGATCATAACTATTTTTCAGTTGTTAGATCGCAGTTGGCAAAAAATGGCCTGGTTCTAACACTACTGCAGGTGTTGCATGTGTGACTTTTGCCACGAAAAACCATTGTTGCATTCCGCATGAGCGACTAATGCCATTGGTCGCCTGCGTGTTCCACAATTAATGTTGTTTCTGATAAAGCGGTTTTGGGCCTGCCACTCCAACCATTCATGCTTGTTTGACATTACAGCATACAACTCACACGGAGTTACTTCAATTCAGCCCATTTGGGCTGCTGGCTAAATAACCAAACTATTGCTTATCGGTGCGGCTGGTCTACCTGCCATAATTTAACAAATTTATTGAAATGTACGCAAACATGAATTTCAAAACAAAATGATGACTTAGACTAAGATTAGACTAAGACTTTTAAGTAAGGAGTAATCATTCGAAATAATTTGGGCCAGACTTCGGAGGATTGCCAAAAATTTTAATACTTTTTTTTACATCTGGAAACTGATAGGAGTTGAGAGAGATGATTAATCATAGCATAGAAATATAGATATGATATGTGTGAGTTATTAGAATTAAACTCATATAAGTTGGCTTAAGATTAAGATCCAAGATGCAAGACAGTTTGGTGTAATCAGCCATTTGAGTCATTTAATGCAATAATATATAATAATCTAATAGTATAATAGGGTTGAAAAGTAAAACTGCCTCCACATTTCATTTAGTTTAAGGCTTAGGCCTAGGCTATACTCTTATTAATTATTATAGATTATTATAGGCCCTTATGATGCCTTATCTATATTATTATAATTATAAGATGAGCATTAATATTTCATCTGTATGTGGCCCATATTTTTTTGTGGCATAACACTCAGCAAATTAGCTGCTCTGAGTTTGGAGGGAACCTGAGTTACTTATTGACTTGTTCATAATTATTTTATTTTTTAAAAGACAACACAAGCCTCACTACTAATATATTACCATTCTTCATTTGTCTTAGCAGAGTCACCACTTTGACTCTTGAGTGATGGTCTTAAGGAGTGTCCAGTAACAAGCCATGGATTTGTTATTTGTTGTAGATGATAATGTTACAGAAGAGGAGCTTCTCAAACTATCTAAAAAGTTTTGCAAAAAAAGCAACAGCCATTCTGAGGCAACTACAAGCAGTTTCATAGACAAGATGAGGCCTACAGTTTTTAACACAGAGCTGAACCCAAAATTGAACACTGAAGAAAAATCCATGAAAAAATGCAAAACTGCATTAGGGAGGAAGATGCAAAAAAAATACTTGTCTGATATACCAATAGTCAAGAACGGAATGTTACGCAGAATTAATGGTGGCTCAACTATCCTCACCAGCAGTGACAGTGAAGATGATGTAGACCATGGTATTGTAGGACCTAGCATCATGGGAACCAATCCCCTGATAAATAGCCCTAGAGTCAAACGCCGGAGGAAGTATTCAGAATCCTTAAAACAGGAATTAAAAAAGTCACACCCCAATCTTAGTAATATTCCAAATACCTCTGGAAATAAACTCAATGAAGTAGTTGTTGATGCTTCCCTAAATATATGTGATATTTTGAGTAGGAATGGTGGTAGTTGTAGTTACATTAGTGAACTGCCTGGTAGTCTATTGGAGGTTTCTCTAGACTCTGACACTGAGAAAACTTGTACATTTACTAGTAAATTAAAAAGGAATGCATCAAATGTTGTGTGTAAGCAAAATGAAAAGAAAAGAAAACCAAACTCTCCAGCTGTTGTGAAAGAGATGGGTAGGAATTTCACTGATTCAAATCGAAACAGCAGGTCAAAACTGGCTGGCTCTGATGGCAGTGACCGTAACAATTCATCTGGTGTTCAACTCAATACCTGTTATAGTAAATCAGAGAAAAAATGTTCTTCAAATGAGAGCTCACTGTTGGAATCCTGGAATCAAATACAGGAGGGCTCATTATTTCCAGGGAGGCTATTTAATGTCAGTGTTGAAATAGCAGAGGTTAGTTTGAAAGAGGACACACCCAGCATAAGCAGGTAAGGATTTATGTCCTCAATTATTCCTATGTGTCATCAACAGACATGAGTCAAACGTCTGAGAAATTGTGAACCTAAATTATACCAAACTAATAACTAAGTTAACACACAAAAATTCCTTGTCTAGGCTAGCCATAAATTAGAATATAAATCACCACAAAAAAAATCACAAAAACTTTCTTAATGTTAAAAAAAAAATTCTACTTATTATTCAGAATTATTAAGGAGATTGTCTTATCAGTTTGCTTTATTGAAAAGTAAATTCTGCTGTTAGTGAACCTAATTATACCAAAGTAAATTCTATATACTATTGGGTTGCAACAAGAATTTTTATAGTGTGTGTAGACAACAAAATACTGTAGCTTGTGGCAGTGCTGACGTAATGAGTTTGATTCTGTTACTCTGTCAGTGACGTATAACTGCATTAAAACTTGATCTGTCAACAGCCCTCTGGTGATACAGCAACCAACATTAAATATACCTGACTGGATGTATGTGGCATTGGATTGTGAGATGGTTGGGACGGGACCTAAAGGCAAACATAGTGCTTTAGGTAGGTGGTTGGTACAAAAATTAGTCCCAGTAATCTTAACTAGGTAGGTGTTCTAGACTTGAGCTAATTTGCAAACATAGTGTTCTTGGTAGGTGATTATGACATGACCTAATGACAAAAATGGTGCTTTAGGTAGGTGATTATGACAGGACCTAATGGCAAACATGGTGCTTTAGGTTGGTGATTATGGTGGGTCCTAATGGCAGACATGGTGCTTTAGGTTGGTGATTATGGTGGGTCCTAATGGCAGACATGGTGCTTTAGGTTGGTGATTATGGCAGGACCTAATGGCAAACATGATGTTTTAGGTTGGTGATCATGGCAGGACCTAATGGCAAACATAGTGTTTTAGGTAGGTGATTATGGTGGGTCCTAATGGCAGACATGGTGCTTTAGGTTGGTGATTATGGCAGGACCTAATGGCAAACATGGTGTTTTAGGTTGGTGATCATGGCAGGACCTAATGGCAAACATGGTGTTTTAGGTAGGTGATTATGGTGGGTCCTAATGGCAAACATGGTGTTTTAGGTAGGTGATTATGGCAGGACCTAATGGCAAACATGGTGTTTTAGGTTGGTGATTATGGTGGGTCCTAATGGCAGACATGGTGTTTTAGGTAGGTGATTGTGGTGGGTCCTAACTAATAGCAAAATTATGCTTTAAGGTAGGTGGTTGGGGCTTGTGTAATAAATGAAGAGATTGATTTGCTCTAATTTGTCTAGCTTTTTTGTTTCAGCCCGGTGTAGTATTGTTGATTACAATGGCAAGGTAATCTATGACCACTACATCAAGCCATCTGATCATATCACAGACTACAGGACGCCCTGGAGTGGGATTCGGCCACACCATATGTCCATGGCTTTACCTTGTAGTTTGGCTGTGCCAGAAATAAAGAAGTTCCTGGACGTAAGTCACAAGTTGTTGGTTTGTGTTATTTTCTAGAACTTGTAACAGTGGAGATAAGAATGGAATCCAGAGATTACCATCATCGATCAATTATAGGGTTAACCAATGTATTTTAGCTAATTCATTTTACTTTTCATTTGTTGGCAAATTTATTAATGTTACATATGGTAGGAGCAAATCATATAAAATGAGTTTGGCCTATACATGATGTTAAATGAACTTACATTGTTTGAATACCATAGGGCTTGTCATTTAATGGCAGAACTCTATTCATAAAACTGCTGTAATCACCTGGGTACTCAGGTCAGACAAAATATCAACAATGTTCATTACTACTATGTTAGCGAAAAGGCCATTGTCCTATATCAAAACTTTTTTACAACTATATTTGACGAAATATTTTACACAATTTTTTTACTGCTATTTTGTGAAATGGGACTTCATTTCGCATACGGCACATGTAACAGTGACTCTAGATACAAGGATTGTCCAAACAATATGCCGAAACACACTCTTAGCTACCATGCTTTAAGAAATATTTGTCAGAAGTTCTAAAAATAGTAATTCTATGACGTTTTCCTGTCTGAGAAATGACAAACCCTATATACTGATGATAGCAAAATGTGTTTGTTATCCTCAACAAATCACAAAACACACAAATCACACATCTTTAAACAGTCAGTTTTTGTTCATAAAAGTCTCTCTGTCTCTTTTGGTATTCTCTTGTAAGAATAAAGATCTGAGTCATAGTCTCATTTTTTTTAGTTACACTGAGACATTTCCAGACTAGAAATTCTGGAAGGTCGGAGTATTCTCTACCAAATTTAGAAGTGTCTGTTGATTTCTCTACTTTGTAAATAAACTTTCCCAATCAAGGGAGGGGGTAGGGTGTGATTGGAAGTTGCACTAAATTAATTAGCAGTTGGCAAGCAGACTAACAAAAAGGGAGATAATCCTACTATTCACACCATACAACTCAGAGGTGATTCAAATGTGGCTCAACAAAGTCCGCCAAGGGACACATGGATTAGGGATTATTTTTTTTTAGTTTAAATATTTTAATAGTTCGTTAATTTAAAATCTTTTTGTGTGAAACTAAAAATACTCTGGAGAAGTTATTTAGATCCATGTTTTGTGTAGCTTTAAGAACTTGCTATATCATACTTGTGAAAAGTTTCTCATCGAATAGCAAGAAATACCGTGTGCTCTAATAGCAATGTCATAAATTCAAGTAATTTCAAATGTCACATATATTTCTTAGAGGCAGAATTCTGTATAAATTGACTCCATCTAAACTACCTGGTAATTGAGCGTCCATGTTTGTTTGTTTTTTTAACAGAAGAAAATTGTCATAGGTCACGCCGTGTACCATGACTTCAAAGCGCTTGAAATGCAGCCAGCACAATTCATGGTAAGGGACACGGCCCGTAGTGCCAGACTGGTGGAAATGGCTGGACTGCAAGGAAAGGGAAACAGTTTGAAGAAACTTTCTGCAGCTCTTTTAGGTTTGTTTGTGATTTCTTGTCTGTGGCATGTCACTTTTGGTTAGATCATCATTAAAATTAATGCCTTTAGATCAGGGGCAGGTAAACAATTTTTGAGTGAAGAGCAGGTTATAATTTATATCTTCTAGTCTAGGGAGAACATATTGGGAGCGGCAGACAGGGCCCTGCCTGTGGATTGCTTTAAGGCTGGCACATCTTGTTAAGGTTAAAATAAACAGCACATTATGTAATTTTAAAAATAAAACCCAATAATGAATGAGAGTATTTTCTTTTCGACAACTTTATCTATCCGTCTAGTTCATTAAAAGTCACGGTAATTGCAGCCACTTTATTATTTAATAATTTAATGGCATTATAGTTATTATTTTAAAATGTTTTATGATGTACAGAGCTTCATTTATCCATTCAAAGAGCATGCAGCTGCTGCAGGTTGCCGATCGCTGCTTTAGAGAAATTGTGACATTTTTTGGTTTTATTTTGACAGTGCTGTGTGAACACCCTTTTTAAATGTTATTCTTTGTGTCCCATGTACCAGAATAAGTAGTATTACTACGGCCAAGCAACTAAACCAAATCCACTGTTTCAGTATGGTACTGCCTAAGTAAAAAAAAAAAATGTGTAATGTTAAGAAAGTTGTCTATTCAATGTAATGTTTATACTTGTCCCAAGTAACTAGATGAATGGTCTAGTGGGAAAAGTACTGGAAGTTTAATTATTTTATTTAAAAATTAGTTAAGACAAGAAATATATATTTAAATCTTTTTCCTTGCATCATTTCAGAAAACATGTATCATGTTTGCTGGATGGAAATGAAATACATTTAAATAAAAATGTTAGTTTCTTTTTAACTTGTGATACAAAACTCATTTTTCTCCAAGCTTTAAAATTGACTTAAGTACCTTTCACACTGTGCCCTCCTTCAAATTGAGTTTGTTTACATAAAAACAGTTTCAATAAATCATCTTACATTAGTTGCTTTTCTTTTATTTAGATCGCCACATACAGGTGGGAAAACGGGGCCACTGCTCTGTCGAAGATGCAAAGGCGACACTAGACCTATTTAAACTTGTCCGCACCGAATGGGAGCCAGAGTTGATGACCAACTGGGTGAAGAAAGACCCGAGCATTGCACAGAAGCTGCTTGACATCATTAATAGCTGTGTGGCAAATGGGGACGTCAATCATGTTGAGGACTTTCTACATGATAAATTTTGGCCTTCAGCCTGATAGGAATTTCTACATGATAAATTTTGGCCTTCAGCCTGATAGGAATTTCTACATGATAAATTTTGGCCTTCAGCCTGATAGGAATTTCTACATGATACATTTTGGCCTTCAGCCTGATAGGAATTTCTACATGATACATTTTGGCCTTCAGCCTGATAGGAATTTCTACATGATACATTTTGGCCTTCAGCCTGATAGGAATTTCTACATTATACAATTTGGCATTCGGCCTAATTGCAACTTTTTTTTGTCACTTGTGTTTTGTTGGTCAATTCTGTTGTGTGTGTCATATTTTCCTCTACAAATGTATTCCAGTATCAAGTATCAAAAGAAACTTGTCTGGCGGTATAGTCATATTTAGCTTGTTACATTGAAATGTTGATCAGTATTTATTATATCAGGAATTATAAAGTGACAGGATTTATAAAGTGGCAAGATTTATAAAGTGCCGATGTTCATTTTAGAGGTCAAACAGTAACAAACAAACATTAGTGACACTTCAAGAAAATTCTTTGACTTGTTCAATGCTGTAAGTTTTCTTTCCATCCAGGACAATGTGTCTTGCAAAGCTATTGCAATGTCACTGACCTTGGGTTATGTGTTTTTTTAAAACCATTAACACTAGTGTCTCAGTGTCTGCGGCGCAACGCACAGTGCGTTCATCCGCCGTTCTAAAAAGCAGGGACCCGCGCTCTGCGTTATCTCAATAACATGTTTGTTTCTTTACTATTTCTCGGTTAGACTTTTTTTTAAGAGCTTTTTTTTAAAAAAAAGACCTTTACGTAGAAGAGTGGTACTTCATTGTTTATTAACGAAACCAAGTTTTATTTGTTGTCATTTGAAGTATTGTTTCAATGATTTTCTTTGCTATTTTGTTCTACTGTTGCTATGGCTACTCTATGCCCTAGAAGGTGAGTGAGTTTCCTAGACGATTAACAGTTCAAAAAGCTTTGGAATCGTTTTATACTATTTCTTTTGATCGTGAAGATGATTTATATTTAGATCCATCGCATGATTACGATAGTAGTAGTTTGAGGATTTTGGTCATAGAAGTGAATATAAGGTTTGCGTACATCATAGTTTTTTTGGGGGGGGGGGGGGGGGGGAAATGGTTTAGCATATAATGTTTTCACATTTTATGGTTATTTTACGTAACTTATTTTATTTAAATTGAAGAAATAAGTTTACAAACATATAATCCATTCAATTGCATTTCATTTGATACCAAGTTTAGTCTTATAAACCCAACCTCTCACTCTTTTTTGCTCTTTGAAAAAAATGTACATTTTTTCGTTTAAAAAATCTGCAGCGAAAGAGTACACACTTTTCTTTATTGCAAAGCTATTGCAATGTCACTGAGTTTAGGTTATGTGTTTTTTAAAACCATTAACTCAAGTGTCTTATTATTCTATAGATTAAGGGCCCACGATCAATTTATTGATCATTCTGGCTCCTATGCATGAAGTGTCTGTTAAGGATCATTCACATCTTTCTTTATTCTTTGACATCACTAAATTTTTTTATATCACCATAAGACATTCACATGGTTAGGCTGCCACTGGTCAGGTGAGCTACCCAACTGTTCAGCTTTGTAAGTCCCAGGATGTCATCCTGCCTTGTGTCATGTAACAGACTGCTGTTGTGGCAGCTGCAAAGCCTTTTGGGGTTCAGTAAGTGATAAAGAAAGGTGTCATGTGTGTAGTTGTTACACTAGTGCGGCTAAGCATCCATAGTTGTACATAACTATAACTGCAATATTTATTTCTTGTTGTTGCTGTTCAGAAGACTTCCCCCGCCCCATTCTCTAGGATTGTTTTAACTTGTCTTTGCTTACACGTGGCAATCTTTACACATTATTTTATTGTACCGGTACATCATTGATATTGATATTGCAAGACGTTCTGAAAAAACTGTTGATTGAAAAATGTCTTAATAATTTCACTATATGTCAATCTGTCCATATTCATGTTTAGATTCCAGCTTCATTTGGTCAAGGGCCTTATTTTATGTTGTGTATTTTAAGGCTAACATTAAAATTTGTTGCTATGGATGCTTTGTGTGTTTTTATTTTGTTGGAAGAGAAAATGAAAGTTGAACTGTTGTTAATGAATTATATTTATAGTATACTGTACACATAATTTTATCGGGTGGTTATGTGGGTGGGGCGGGAAAGACAGTGTAATACCATGTCACTGGGTGCTTGTGGGCAGAGCGGTCTCAACTGAGTCGATCATAAGCTTGTGGGCAGAGGGGCCACAACTGAGTCAATCATAAGGTTTGTGGGCAGAGCGGTCTCAACTGAGTCAATCATAAGGTTTGTGGGCAGAGCGGTCTCAACTGAGTCAATCATAAGCTTGAGGGCCGAGTGGTCTAAACTGAGTCAATCATAAGCTTGTGGGCCGAGTGGTCTAAACTGAGTCAATCATAAGCTTGTGGGCCGAGTGGTCTAAACTGAGCAAATCTCACCACAGCATTGCACGGTATAAAGGTCATCGAACCTAAACCTAATGAAGTTGTCTGAGTCAGGTCCTTAGTGGTAAGATCAGTGGCTCTCATATCTGGATATACTAATGACGTCATATTTGGAGATGGCGTCGGTGGGTCGTCGAATATCCCCCCAACCCTACACATGGGCCAGACGTCGGGTCTCCTGACCGTGGGGATTCACGTCGGGAACTTCCCCCTCTGGCCTGGGGGACGTCCGGTCGACTGAAAACGCTGAGTTTAAAGCGTTCGCGGTCCACTCTCCGTGGGTCAGAACGGCTTTGCTTCCTCTCCGGGGGAAAGGTGTTGCATTACCTCCACCCACCGTCCAGAGAGTCGTCGGGTCTAGACGAAAGCTGGGACGAAACGGTCGCCTAGTAGCGGCTTTCTCAGGGCCGCGTTGCTAAAATCATCAGCAAGGGCTTTAACCGCCACCCAGACCTCATATCCATTAACGTCAACAAGTAACCATGTTGTTTGCCTTACTCCCGTTGCGTTGACAGTCATGCGAGTGGCCGGGGATTTTTGCTTCGGGAGGTCAAAGCATTCCTACTAGTCTGGCTCGCCAAGAACAGGCGAAACCCCATGTTACACCACCAAGTCGCCTCGGCGAGGCGGGTCCCCCTGACTTAGAGGCGTTCAGTCAGACCCCCCCCCCCCCCCCCCCCGATATACAAAACTGGTTATTCTGTGAGTGACATACCACGTAGGTTGAGTGACTGAGCAAAACTGTAGCTCGGGGCTGACCACTATAAAGATACCTTAGTTTATCACTATACTGACACCTTAGTTTACCACGATGTTGACAACTTAGTTTATCACTATACTGACACCTTAGTTTACCACGATGTTGACAACTTAGTTTATCACTATACTGACACCTTATTTTACCACCATGGTGACAATTTAGTTTATCACTATACTGACACCTTATTTTATCACCATGGTGACAATTTAGTTTATCACTATACTGACACCTTAGTTTACCACAATGGTGACAACTTAGTTTACCCCATACTGATAACTTGGTTTACCACCATGCTGCCACCTTTGTTTACCACCACCATACTGCACCTTTGTTTACCACCACCATAATGCCACCTTTGTTAACCATCACCATACTGCCACCATTTTTTTACCACCACCATCCTGCCACCTTTGTTTATCACCACCATACTGCCAGCTTTGTTAACCACCATACTGCCATCTTGGCTTCTGTATAATTTGTTTATTGCATGTGCTATCACCTAATGGCGTCCATAGCCCTACAGCTACTAACTACAATAATTCAGCTCGAGGTAAACTCAATACTATATCTAGGATAATATTAAGGGAGAGAACCAAAAATCTTTCGATTTCTCACACATTTCAATAGCGATTGTCCCTTTTTTTTCTATGGTGACGTCGTCGTCGTAGTAGCAGTAGCAGTAGCAGTAGCAGTAGCAGCAGCAGCAGCAGCAGCAGGAGCAGCAGCAGCAGCAGCAGTAGCAGTAGCAGTAGTAGTAGCAGTAGCAGTAGTAGTAGCAGTAGTAGTAGTAGTAGTAGTAGTAGTAGTAGTAGTAGGGGGAGTGGGGGTTTATAGAAATGTTCACATAATCACTGAGGGGGGGGGGAGAAATGGGCGAGT